AAATGCATAATATAATTTGAAAAAAAACAAAAGCAATTCATTATTTTATAAAGAATTTAAAAAACACAGATATATGTAAATACTATTTTAGTGAATTTTGTTCATTTCTGTTTTCTTTCTTTTACAACCTCGAAATTTGCTTCATGAAGCCTAAATTACACATGTTCAAGGGTATGAATAAGTGTTGTTCATGGAATAGAAATTTTTCCCTATGGAACTAAAAATGCAGACCTGGAGAAGTAGGAAATAATTCTATATTGGTAAGGTATTAAAGGGCAGCTTAAACAGAGACTTTTTTTTTTTTTTTTTTTTTTGACGAGGAGTGACAGGATGGTTTCCACTTAAGGAAGATTAATCAGGCATTGTAGAAGGTGAATTCAATACATCTCTTGGCAGGGCAAGAAAGCTAAAGGGAGAATTTGGGAAAGGAAGTTTCAACCTAAAAAATTAAAAACAAATTAGGTTTTAACCGAAAGAATATGAAGTATTTGTCAATAAAATAAGAGGTGAAATAAGTAACTGAAACTTAAGAGAGAAAAAGTCTGATGGATGTTATAAATTTCGTAGTTATATGTCAGGGAGACTTAAATGATGAGAACTGCAGAACTTTCTTATGAATATGTATCAGAAGGACATATTCAAACTAATGCTGGTCAGGGTTACAAACATAAGGTCTCTCGTTTGAGATCTATTACACAGCATAGTGACTATGGTTAATAACACAGTGTTGTATATTTCAAAATTGCCAAGGGAGTAAATTTCAAATGTCTTGTCACCAAAAAAAAAAAAAAAAAAAAAAAAAGTGAGGTGATTAATGTGTAAATTAGCTTGTTTTAATTATTCCATATTCTATGCATATATCAAAACATCAGATTACCTCATAAGTATATCCTATCATTATTTGCCAATTAAAAATAAAAATAAGAAATTTGGTTTGTAAAGCAAAAACAGAAACATGTCTCAGCTTCAAAAATATGGTCTAAAATCATTTTAGTGTGTCCTCTAGAAGAAATGTTGAACCATCTACTTCAAGTAAATCTTGAAACCATGTGGTGTGAGCCTCATGAACATGCCTTGGAGGTTGACCTTGACCTCTGTGAGGTTGGACAGATGTCTAAAGCTCTATGGGAACAATGCCTGCCAAAATTAGTTCAGTGCTTCACTGAGGCTCATCTCAGAAAATGGCACTGAAATAGATGTGGCGTGCCAGACTTTGAAACCATGCAATTAAGGTTTAACTGTGGTACCTGAAAATAATGTGCCAAAAGCATATAATCAAGTATTTCTTTTTATGTACAGATTACACATATCTAATGATAAGTATATACAGTATTATAAAACAAGCAAAACTGAAAGTATCCTTTCAAAAAAGTATACTGAAAGCCTCTTGGATGACTTCATGAATCAGTGACACAGTAACAAATCTCTTCTTTAAAAAAAAAAAAGATTTTTTTCACATAGTTTGGACCTGTATTAATGCTTTTTACTTTCTCTTTAATTTCATCTAGCAAAATCAGGAGGAGCACAAACGAAAACCATGGGACAAACATCTTTGGAGCAGAAGACTGGAGAGAAAGTAATGATGAAAGTCAGCCAGAGCGGTCGAGTAAAAAAAGTAGAAAGTGACTGAGATTTTGCAAACCAAAGCTCATCCACAGATACACGCTTGAGAAGGGTATGTTTTCTCCAAATAGATTGTCCAATTTGAGTTTTTATTTCCCCACTCCAGACAGTAGCTCAGATAAAATGGGAATAAAATAATGAAAAGCTTTTGTTTCTTTAACTTTTAGGAGGAGCTAATGTGCTATGTATGGAATGACCTCCCCAGTCGAGCCTTAGTCATAAGCATGTAGATTATCTTCAGCAGATGTGCTCTCCCAATGCCATCCCCTTTCAACACCCACACTAGCGTACTGCCTCAGACCCACCATTGTCTGACAGTTGGTGGAAGCAGAAAAAAACATAAAAGGGCAAAAAAGTCAGTTGCTTTCAGTGGCAAGTGCACCAGGTCTGGGAAACAGGGGTCCCTACCCTATTATACGCTGAAGCAGGCTTATATGGGCTTAGAGCTAGAACTGGTTTTGTTAGATTTTTAGGAATTTTGTGAGCCAGTTGTTAAGCCATTATTAAAAATTAAATTATGCAAACTTAAATTTAAAGAAATCCTACTAAAAAAGGTACTCAATAGGTAACACTTATTCTTTCCTAATTATTTGCTGTCTTTTACTTTATCAATGCTTTTGAGGTTATGCCTATTTTATGTGTATGATGGAAATGCTATATAAAGATACATTTGAAATTGACCAAGGTGGGAGTAGTTTCACCGAATAATTTGGCAAACTCTGCAAATCAGTGGTTGCTTACTGTTTTGTTGATTGCCTAGACTTTTTAAATAAAGGAGAAATATTTTAAATAGTGCATATTAAACCTAAAAATGTGTCATGTCCATAGACATTGTCAATAGCATGAAAGAAACTGAGGAAGTAATTTTTAAGTATTTGAAAACTATTATCCATGTCAGCCAAGAATCTGTTCATGTAATTGATGGAGATAAGTTCCAATATTTTCTTCCATGTTTCACTTTCCTCTTTCTTTTTAAAGCAAACAAAAATATTCACCAGCATTCATGTCAGAACTACAAAACTAAGAGTTTGTCAAACTCAGCAAACAGATTCTGCCAGAATGAAATGCCTATATGGAATACACACTAAAGACTATTACATATTGTACTATTGCTATCATTTGTCAATTGAGAGCTACACATCTTTCACATAAAGATTATTTTGTATGATATTATAATGTATACATTTGTTTTGTTTACAATCCAGTTGTTAAATGCTTACCATCACCCCAATATCTCTATCATCCAAAAACTATTGATTGTGGAAAACCCGTTTACCTCTATGAATATTCAACTTCCTCACCTACAAACAAATGAAATGACTATCTACATCAGAGGATAGTTTTAAAAGTCAAAAGAAATGTTTATGTCAAAACCGTGTATGGATTGCAAATATTAGGTATTATCGGAAATTCAGGAAATATGTTTCAGCTTCTAATATGAGCTCTAATAACTTGCAAAGTGTGCAAATATCACTAATGCTATGGTCTCTGCCCTCAAGCTGCATACAATCTAATAGTAAGAAATATGTGTAAATGACTTAAAATTGCTTAAGAGAGTACCAAATGTTCTATACCAGAGGAAAAAGTGAAGTCCTATGAGATTATAGGAATATAAGGGATTTTACCTGGAGCACCAAGGAAGACTTCATTTAAAAAAAAATGGAATTTTGAGATAAGCTTTGACATATATGTTGCATTTGTATCAACTGAGAATGTGCACTTGGAAAGAGGGGCATACTTGGCTGGTGGGTGAAAACTCAAAAACATTATCATCACAAATATTTCAATGCCTGTTAAGAAAATTGTAATTGCATTGATAAATCTGCTACGTAAAAACCTTTACATTCCATGTAAAATAGAAATTTTGCATTATAGACTATGCAATCCAGCAGGCCTATCCATAATCTTACATTTAATCAAGGGTTGACTACATGTTTAGTCAGCTTTTCCAACTTATAACCCGTGTCCATTTCTAAAAACCAAAGTACAACTCAAGCTCCTGCCTTCTTAGTGAAAGAAAACATTCATGTTGTTGTAAATTTTTAAAATTATTTTTCAAGAAAACTATTAAATACGTTTGATTCAAGTATTTCACATGACAGAAGGCACTATCCAATAGAATTAAAAAGTGGTCACTGGTTTCAAACCTAGGAATACGTAAATTACACACGTATTACGTGAACAATGAAGGGCATACCCAAAGTGAGATTTTCATGAGACACTGGCACACTGAGGCAAGAGAAAAGTGAACACATTCTAAAACCTTCAAGTGAACAAAGACTAACTACTAAAAAGCACGATTTTATCCCTCAGTTAATAAGTCTTGCAAGGGATGACATTACTAAGTAAAGTTCATTGCAAGCATTTTCCTCTCGCTTGTCAAAATATGCTAGTTATATATTTGTGACTTGAAAAAAGACAATGCTTCGAAGAAATCTTGGCAGAGTACTCAGAATCTGTCTTAAGTATAACGCAAGGGAGATGTCTATTAATCTTTCACACACAAAGTCTGATTCAAAAGTTCTGTGGCCTTGACCTCAAGTGACCATGGAATAGATCACAGAGCCAGTCCAGGATCCAAAGGGATTAAGAGGAGCATTTGCTCTGTTCTGAAAGGTCCTTTTTTCTCCACTCTGGTTTCTAACTTCCCATTACACAACTCCCTCTGCAAGGCACCGCGCCAATGGAGCCCGTTCACTCTGTTCTCTCCTTGATGACAGCTGTCAGTCTGTCACCGCCTGAACATGCAACATTTCAACAAAATACAAAGCGGAATTGAAAGGGCAGGGGCTGAAGCACACAGCCTGACCTCCTTCCTGGAGGTCCCAGACTCCTTTACCATCACCTTTCAACCTGCTGAAGGTAAGAACCACCTCACTCTTCACTAACAGAATTGAGGCAGCTTCTGTAGCCTCAGAACCTGGGCATTCCCACGCATTGTGTAATTAAGCAACATTCCTGGAAATCATCCTAAGAAGGAGCCCGCAAGTCCCCTTGTAACTTCGGCACGAACGCGAAGGGTGCTAAAGCCAGGTGTCAGATCAAGGGGCGGGGAAATCGCTCACTCCCTTTGCTCCTGGACAGGAACCCCTGGACCGCGTGGCGACGCCCGGCGGGAGCGCGGCGAACCCCAGCGCGCGGGACCATGAGTGAGACCGCGCCCTCCCGCAGAGCAGTGGCTACCCGGCGAGTGCCGGCGGCTGGAGGGCAGTGCGAGCCCAGCCAGGCGGAGGGTAGGGCAGTGCGAGCCCAGCCGGGCGGGGAGCCCTGCTCACTCGTTAGCCCCCGGCCGGGAGTTGCGGAACCGCAGAGGAAGCCGGAGAGGCTGGTCTTGAAGCAGGGACCTGTCCTGGGGCAGGGACGCGCGGGGCACTCACCAACTGCAGCGCGCAGAGGCAGATGAGCGAGCAGCGCCCGGTGCAGCAGCCCATGGTGCAGGCGGCGTCCGAGCGGCTCTGAGGGCCAGGGATCCGCGTCTTCCGCAGCTGCTGCCTCCTGACTCCGGAGTAGTCCTCGCCTGGCCCAGCCCAGGCTCCCCGGCCCCCGGCCGCCGCTCGCGGCTCCTGGGCTCGGGGTTAGAGCCCGCAGTCTTTGTTAGTTTCCCGGCGGGGCGGGCGGAGGTCGGTGCGGCGCGCACTGCCCGAGCGTCTGGCGGGGGTCCCTGCGTCCCACTGTGCAGGTCTGCTTCTTGGGGAGGGGGAGCGGGGCGGAGGGCGGAAGGAGGCTACAGATGGTGAGTGGGTGAATGTCTGTTTAGGGGAGGGGAGTATGTAGGAGGTGGGCGTCTGGAAAGTGGAGTGGGCTGTCTGGGTCCGGGTGTGTGTGTGTGTGTGTGTGTGTGTGTGTGTGTTGTGGGAGGGGAAGAATGAAAGGGAGTGCCGCTGGGGAGGATCGGCCTGTCTAGTTAGGAGTCTTTGGGGAGACAGACAGAGGGACGGAGAGAAAAGAGAATGAATATGAATGAGCGTGAAGTAGGGCGGCCGGCTGCGATGGAGACCCTCGTCGACCGGTGTAACTGGCTAGACCCAGCTGGGCTTTCCCGCTGAAGGTTGTGCTGGGGGTTGGGAGGGTGGTCGTTGCGTTTGCAAGGGAGGGGACACGGCTTAGCTGAGCTGTCCCAGAGGTGGCGAGGATGGGAGGTGGGATGGCTTGGGGTCGGGGAAGGAAGGGCAGGACGCGAGACACGGAGGGTGGGCGGGCGCGGCGGAGCGCGAGACAGAGCTCCGGAACCTGCCTGGCTGCGAGGGGGCCGGCGGGTGCTGAGCGGGCGAGTGTGATCAGCTGGCGCTGGGCAAACAGCTCGGGGGTCTCCGAGCCGAGGTCGCTTCTGGCCGCCGCAGCCGGTTGCCTGGAGGGCGCCCCTGCTGGAGTCTGAAAGGGAAAGTTGGACAGAGTTGGTTGGCAAGGGGCGCTGCGGCGGAGAGATGCACCGGCCCAGGGCGCGGGGACTAGCCTGCACGCCGCGGGGAGACCTGGCTTAGGTTCTCAACTCACAGACCCTTTGACATCCTCACCAGGAGGGAGAAACGAGAAGGCGAGGAAAAAGAAGATGAGTAGCTTTTTCTAGAAACGGAAAAGGTTTCTGGAATAGATATAAATATATCTTCACAGAAATGAATTGTTTGAGAAGGATTTGGAAATCAGATCTCGGATAGTTAAGATACGGTCAAACTCTCTGAATCTTGTGGAAACTCTCTTACTCTCTCCCACTTAATAGAACAGGGCGGAGGTGTTCTGCAGAGGATTCAATTTCATCAGGGCTCAAAGTGAGATTTCATGGGCGCATTTGTTGTACCAGGTGGAACTGCGCAAGGAGCTCAAAAGCACACCAGCACAGGGAACAAGCCCGTAGGCCAATTATCTCAGAAAAGTCTGTCTTCAGAATTTGGCACAGAAACCCTATTTCTAGCCCACTGCTGCCCTCCTGGGTTCTTAGCGGTAGGTTGGTAAGAAAAGGCAAGACATCTTTGCGTGTTTAATACTTTCACTCCAGACATGGAAACTGCTCAAACCATTATTAGTTCAGGCATTAAAAGCTGTCCTGTTTTCATTTTTAATCCTCTTTCTGAAACGTTTCTTCAGGATCTCCGTTTATAATTTAAGAGTTATAATTCTCTTTGAAATTCTAGTAGGGACACATGAATAATAACCTCAGGATTTGGTTTAACAAAAGGGTCAAGAACATTCATTGTTTACATTCCACCTTTGTCTATTATCATGGAGAAGGGAGAAATCAAGTCAGAACTCCCCCTCGTTTTTTAACCCAAGTTTTAAAACATCAATGATCAAGAATCATGTGAGCATGCTGCCTCTGTGTACAATCCACATACTGGTCATCATTCCTGATGGATGAAAACAATAGGAAAAAATGAACACTGACATATAAGTAGTTTAGCATATACAAAAGGACACTGCAGAACATCTCCAGCCACTGACCCCTCTAAAAGCTGTAGGAAGCAGCTGAAACGTGAGAGGACATGAACAAGTCCTCTATCTATAACTCCAGAAATTGTCATAACCTCTTCATCTCCAGAGACTGTGATGAATGATGGTAATAAAAATATTGACACTTCCTTTTCTCCAAATTACCCCAGCATAATTTGTCATGCTTTTATTTATTTAGGAAGTACCATATTAGCAGCTAACCTGCACTGGGTCCTTGTCAGGTGCTATACATCCATCTAAATACTTTGTGTGTTCATTTAATCATCACTGCAACCTCATGGGGTGGGTGCTGTGAACATCACCATTGAAAAGATATGGAAACAGGAGCAGGGGCTCCCCTGGCTGTTAAACACAGGAATAGGAATGCAAAGCCAGGGAATCTAACTCTAGAGCTCCTGGATTTACACATTCCCTATGCTGCCTCTGAAACTTGGGACACAAATAGCACTTATTCACAGGGAAGCCAGCTGTTCCTTCAGAAGTAGGTGTAATAATGTACATTGATCTAACATTCAGAGTTAGTACCACCCATGTTTGATTTTAGACCAAGAGGATCTCTTGCACCTCTCCTTTTCCCATCGCCCCCTTTAATGATAGACTTAAATTGGAGTTTCTTCCTTGTGTGATTTAAGACAGTCAGAAATGCATCTGTACTAAATGCATTTAAACAAGAAGCAAAGATAATACAATGCTAATAAGAGGTCTAGAAATTGTGTGAAGCTACCTTTATTTCTCTCTGCAATCTCTTATTCTCATTTTCTAAATTGTATTACATCCTAAACTAAAAATATTTCTCCCTTTTTTTCTTTCTTCCTCCATCCTTCCCTCAAATAGTTTTTACAAGTTTATTTCTTAATTGCTTCTATGCGAAGGGCTGTGCTAGTTGCCTTGTCTGCAAAGGTAAATGATAATACTCCCTCTCTTCCCCTCAAGGGCTTACAGGTGGGAAGGGAGAACAGATGCAGGAATAAAGTAGCACTCCCTCTGATAGAGGTTGGTGCCAACTGCTGTCATTAAGTTTTCTTCCTGTGAGAGTTAGAGAAGATTTAAAAGAGGAATTACCAGTCTCTTGGGGAGAGGAAATGAGACTAGAAAATGACAGAGCAATGGAAAGGATGCGGCCTGGACAGAAGTTTGGTAAAACCAATTGGAGAGGAAGTAATCTAAGTAGAACAGCCCGTCAGATATATGGCTGTAAATGCTGCTGCTTGGCCACAGAATATCAGAAAGGTCATTTTGCTCCCTTGTGAGCCCCATTTTCCCCATACATAAAGTTGTTGTGATAAAATGACTTGCTCCAAAGGGCTAAGCCTCTGCATTTGCCTCTTGTCCTGTCTCTGTGGAGCTTATAGCCTTAGCTCATGCAGGTCTCAGCCTCATGTCACATCCCATGGAGGCTTTTACTGAACAGGCCTTCTAAAATAATACTCCAGTTACTCTATTTTTCTTCAAACTGATTGTTTGCTTACTGTATTGTTTCCTGTTTCCCCGACTCAGATACAAAGCTGTTTCCCCAGTGCTTATAACAGTAGTTAAATTCAATATCTGTTGCATGAAGAACAATAATGTGTATAGATTTTTAGCATAATAATTCACACATCATGTTGAACATGTATGTACATGTACACATATATAGTATGTAGTGAGTATTAAACATGTGTACACACACACCCCTTAATGCCATTTGAGTCTGTGTGTTTCTTATGTTTTGTTTTTGTCTTATGTCTATCTCTTCTATGTGTTTATTTCTTGGTGAAATTCCTTTTGAGAAACTTCGGTCCTATCTCCCTTGAGGGAGGAGTTGTCCAAACTAAAAGATAACCAGGGTGAGACAGCACCTCTAGAGGTCAGATCTAGAAATGCATGTTTCCAGATTCCCAACTTTTTGGGGTTCACTTTCAAATACTGGATATGAGACAAGAGCTTTAAGTTTCTCCTTAAATTAAGATTCTTTTGAATTAAAGTGATCCTCAATTATTGCACTGTTTTTTGTTTGTTTAGTGTTTTTGTAAGCCTCTCAATTCTGCATTTTTGAGTTGAATAGATTATAGCGTGATTAAACATTCTTCCTCCATTGTGAAAAGTTATTCAATGCATTAGTAAATATATATGTATTTCCTCTGATGTCTGCTTAATGGTGAGCACCTCCTTGGGGCCTTCATGGAGCAAGTAAATTCCCTATACCTTCTCCTACAACTGGCTTGACTTCATGATTATCTGACAGACCTTGCAAAGCAGTCAGCCAGCTCAGATGGAGCGAAGAAAACTTTTACACTGGAGCAAAATGTGGACACACATGTATGGAGAGTTTGAAGCATGGCTGCAAAGGGCTGACGAACATTAGTGTGCTGTTGCGTGGCTGTTGAAACCATCCTTCTAGTTAGAATTGGTTCACTTATTATGCATAGCAAAGGATGTATGAATGTTGGGGGCATAAAATGGGAAAATGCTAACAGTTATATTTTTTATATTTTCTTACTCCCTATAAAGATAGGTTTTTCTTGATATTTTAAGCACTTTACATCTGAACATTTAAAAACGCCCCCCAGATGGCTGTTTTATTGGGAGATAAGAAAGAAATTAGAGGTGGACATATGGTGTGGGGGTGTTTCTAAGGTCACTGGAAAGCCTGTAGAGTGGGAGAAACCAAAGGAGAAAGGATAAGAAAAGTTCTTTGGCATATTTTGATTGAATTATGTTACTTATAATTAGTTCTGCAATTAGAAAGATACAGCCAAGCACCATTTTTTTCCATTTCTGTTTTGGTTAATAAAAGCATCAATTAATATTAACTCCATCAATGGCCTAACAACTCTGATCTGGTTTTTCTCTCTTTTTTTTTTTCTTTCTTTCTTTCTTTTTTTTTTTTTTTTTTTAAAAGATTGAGATTCATTCTTGCTGCCCAGGCTGGAGTGCAGTGGTGCGATCTCAGCTCGGTGCAAGCTCTGCCTTCTGGGTCGGGCGATTCTCCTGCCTTAGCTTCCCGAGTAGCTGGGATTACAGGCACCCACCACCATTCCCAGCTAATTTTTGTGTTTTTAGTAGAGGCAAGGTTTCACCTTGTTGGCTAGGCTGGTCTTGAACTCCTGACCTAAGGTGATCTGCCTGCTTTGGCCTCCCAAAGTGCTGGGATTATAGGTGTAAGCCACTGCGCCTGGCCCGTTTAGTACTTTTCTAATGTCATGCACTGAGCAGCTCCAGCCGACACTGGCAAGAATTTCTCATCAATTTATTGCTGAGTATTAGCAACCACTGGGAATTTCTGTGCAACAAACATGCATTCTGTAGCTTGGGAGCTGCGTGTCAGAGTCCTCATATCAGAGATACAAACAATTCCTTACAACCATTAAAAGCTCAGCGGCCCTCTGCTTTCAAGATTTCAAGCAACCAGATCAAAGGAGTCCTCATAAGCTAGACCCCCAACAATTGGCAATAACAAAGGAACAGCAAGGGTAACATGATTGAAATCAAAAGAAAACACAAATACAGTCTCTGCAAATCCTGATGCCACTCTGAACGTTTTGGGAGGCATGCATGTAGGTATTTATTAGATAACATTAAGTGCTTCACATTACAGGGAAGACTGCCCCCACCACCCCTTGTGTTTAAATGAAAAAGGCATTGCTGTAACATATGCAAAGAGACTATTACTGTCAGATAATGAACTTTTGGAGTAGATTTTCTCATACCTGTCTGGCTCAAGAA